GTGAGGGGGAAATTATGGAGTTGTCAAATGAAAGGGAGAAACTGTCAGCTTTGGATAAAGTAGATTTTGTTCCCACTAAGAGGATTTCGGTCTTGTCATTATTCAGTTTAAGAAAGTTGGAGGTGAACCAAGATTTTATTTCGGTTAAGCAGGAGATTAATGAAGGAGGTGGGAGTGAAGAGTTTGGTTTACAACATAATACAATGTTAATTACCAAAATGATGCATGCAGTATATATAGGCCTTCCTTGTCATGTACATCCTTGTTGGGATATGGTGTAATTTTCTATTTCTTCAAACTGTAAAATCATTGCAACAAAATAAATTATATTAAAACTAAAATGCTTTCTTTAAAGCAAACTACGATGTTTCTCGTATATTTGGCGAATTTATGTTCGAATGTTTTGCAAAAATATGTTGAGGTGCATGATTTGGTTTTGCATATAAAGCCTAACGTTTCGCGTCTTACTTGCATTGTTGCCAGGTTGGGATGTTTCCCAATCTGGCAGTTTAGGATGGCCGTCTATGGGTAAAAACTATTTGTGTAAAAAAATTGGTAAAAAAACCAAAGCCAGTAAAACAGCATTATAGAAGTCTTGGTCATGGTTTTTGTGTGATGCTTGAAGATAGATCAGTTAATCCACAATGTGAATTCGTATTGTGTTTCACATTTGAGACGCACACGTTTGACTGTGCTTCTATTTTATTTATTTTTTTCGGGGGCGAGGGTGGTCCATAAGTGGGCCGATGTAGATGGAAAAGTGCCAGGGCTGAAAAATTATTCCCAGTCCGAGCCTGCTGTACATCAATCCCTCATACCAAGCATGTATGCAGCGACAGTGGAGAGGAAAAACTCCCTTTTAACAGGATAATGATGAGAGAACAACTCAGTTTGTTTTACTAAACCAAAACCTATTCTTGATTTTTAAATCTTGAACATATAAAGCTGTAACCAGTAATCAGTCTAAGAACCAGCTTGACATTAGCTGCTGTCATTATCTGTGTCAATATTTTGGTTTCCCGTGTTCTCATGCTTTTAAATGTCCATGTCCTATCCAACTGTGTTTCAGAACATTTTAAAATCACTTAAAAGAAAAACCTCAAAGTTTAGCCAAGTCTAAATAAATGTCATGTTCACCAAGGATTTTTTTTAGCTAGCCCTCAAGTATAATGGATGGAGCCTGTGTCCCAATAGGAAATGTAAAGATATCAAAATACACTCATTTTATAAGAAAAAAACTCAAACCCTGTGATTGAGAAACAAGTAGATATTTAGAACTTTTTTTTGTTTGTTTTTGTTTAGGCGTAAATATGGTTTTGTCAATTTGGGTGAACTAACATTTGGAATTTTTGGGATATATACAAACGCCTGACTTTGGTCAAACTGCTAATTGTAGACATTCCTGTTTACACATCTGAGAAACTAGTTAGATAAGTTCAAATATAAATATAACTTCTGCTTTAAAGCAAGGCCCTGAGATCAGAGAATTGTAACATAATTTAACTTACATGAAATTTAGCCATTCGTTGGAACAAAAAACTATTTCCTTGTTGCCAAACATGTGACTTCAAAATAACTTGCCTTTTATCTTACATAGGATTGACAAACTGAGAGAAAAAGAGAGAACCCTGAGCACTGTGTGGAGAAAGAACGCTTGGACAGATGTGACTGAAGAACTGGAGGAATATGAAAAAGTACTTACAGAAGAAAGAACTGCTCAAGGTGAGACATTTAGCTGTGTCTTTACATTTAGAAGCCTGTCAGTAGGGTAAGGTCATCATGAAAGAGATAAGATTGCTCCAGTCATTTAGGAAATAATCGTGTCATCTATAAGAAGAAAGTCTTTAAATTAGGAATGCAGCCAATTGATATCTGCAGTTTAACCTGAGAGAGTTTATTCCAGATAGCTGGGACAGAATGTGGAGACCTGATAATTCAACCACTGTTCAAATCATTTATTTAAAAGTAAACTGGTGTTGCAGAAACAGCATCTAGAATCATGGCTCAACAAGAGCAAGAACAACTCAGTGATCAAAGAAACTGAGCATGTAGAGCTTCCATGGAGTGAGAAGACGGTCTTCTGGTGCTCTGCAGAAAGGGATCCAAGTTAAAAGATATCCCTGTAAAAAAGCCTTTACTGCAGTGGTCGCCAACCCGTCGATCGCGATCGACTGGTAGATCTTTGAAACATTCCCTGTAGATCGCGATAACAAAATAAAGCTTGAGAATTAACTGTCGCAAAATTACAATTTACGGCACTAGCTCTCAAGCCAGACATTTGATGGGTCAGCAGATGTGGTCAGCTGGTATGGCGGCAGCTGTGAGAAAAAAGTTGAAAATTTATCATTTTCATAAGGAATGGGAAGAGCAATTTATTTTCACCATGGTGAAAA